AAAACGTTTCTATGATACATTATATTGTAGAAAACTACGGGATTTCAATATTACATGTTTGGGAAGTATTTCGATCCATGAATAAGTTCCATCAGACCTGAAAAGTTTTTAAAAAAAATTATTGCCCTAAATAGTTGTAAATATATATTTACCAACTTATTCCTTCCAACCGCTGATAAATAATTTTAAATCTCTAATTATTGATGTATTTTAAAAGAGCCGAGATCCAAACCGGCTTTCTTTTTTACTATATTAAATCATTCTTATTTATTTTACCTTATTTTTTAAATTGTTATGTAGGTATAAAAATTAAAATTAAAAAATATATATATATATATGTGACATTAGTATACAACAATTACATAGGTCAAGTAGAAATAGTTCATAAAATTCATCTTAAATCCATTTGACATTCATTAAAAAAAAAATTTTATTTTTAACAACTGAATTTAACTTTTCACAATTGCTATGGATTCGGACAAATTTTAGTCAAATTCATTTTTGTTTTAAACAAAATATAATAATAATAAAATACAAGTAAATGTTATCAATGCAATCATACTTTTAGATATTTTAAAATAATAACAACGATAAAGAAATATTTTATTCAAAATTATTTCATGCCGAATCATCTGAGGAAACACTAACGAATTTAGCAATTCCCAAAATTTGCTAAGTGGGAGAGCTTCAAGATAATATTATTTTTCGAATTTACACGAAAACTGTATTTCGTCTTTAAAATAATAATTCAATGACATAATTAAATTAATCTCTCAAAAAAGTAACATAAACTTCTCACTTTAGTATGAAGATGAAGTCGGTTCGATAATATATTTTTACACCAGGAGAAACAATCAGGTACACAATTTATAGACCCTGGCTTAACACGAAAAGGTCAGACTTAGAAAGAGCTCATTTCCTACAACTTATTACTTTATCGATGGGAACGATGTTGTACTTTTATTATGGCCTTAGATCATAAAAAATGTATTAATATATCTATTGTTGTATTTTAATTATTAGTAGTAGACGAAGAAATTTCCCAATAAAGTAGAAATAATATTACAGCACATAAAATTATAACAATATTAATTTCTATGTTAAGACACTCTATAATGCACGAGTTAATCAAAAGCATATTACTATGCTACAGTCGGTACAATGCAACACAACATAATAAGTGCACGCTTAATATATGATTTGTACTTACAGCGTGCAAGGGAAAAATTTCCCATCTGTCCATCACTGAAATAATATATATTTTAATCAGAACCAATAAATAAAAATTATGCTATGAAAATGCATATAATTAACATTAATAATTTACTGCCTTATTTATCTGAGTAAGAACTAACTGCATTTACTTCTATGATGCTCGACTTTGAGGTAAGGTATTACAAGAAATTATATTTAAGAGATAAAATGTATTTATGTTTGTTAACATTATACTTTGAAACTATTTATTTTACATTTTTTTTTAATCCATTTTTTTTATTAATTCATTTCTATTTTTTGTACCTTCTATTTAAATAGTTCAGAAGTAGTGTTATTTAGTTGCGCTTAGACATCAAAACAAACAAACGATTTATTTCATGAAAATGTTTAATATAGTAATTTTAATTATACTTTTTAATTATCAGTTGAATACACTAAATAATGGATCTGTTGTAAATTAACAGTTAGGAGAATTAAAGTAGAATTCAATGTTTAAAAATGCACTTTCTTTCAACCTTTTACAAGACCAGACTTGGTGCCACTTACCCACAGTTGTAGGGGAGTTCCTCTTATAATTTAATATTTTTTATTAAATTTCAACATTTTGCCAAAATATTTGACCGACCAGAAGTGTCTTTCGGTAAAAGCAAATTACAGTTCCAATTAAAGAATAAAATAGGCGGAATAAAATGAAATGATAGATATTAGAACTTAAAATCTCATATAAAAGTTAAGAATATTACATATATTTGTATTTTTGAAACATTTACATTTTTTTAACTTATTAATTATTACTTATACCCACTGAGGTTTTTTTTTCTAAACTATATGCTATCACTGTAAATCATATATACATTGGAAGTATATAAAAATAAGAATTATATGTATATGTATATAATTATATATAATATAAATTATATACATGAATATTTCTCTCCAGGAAAATAAACAAAGTAACTACGAATGTAAAAATAGACCGAAATACAATGATATAATGTAAATAAGAAACAGTTATCAATGTTACTAAAATTCATAATATAAATTTATTTATGTTTTTTATTTCTATAATTATCGTGGTATATATGTATGTATAAATATAAGTAATTTTTAAAAGACTGGACAACGTTTCCATCTGCCTGATTAGTGATAGTTTAAATAGTATATTAGCTAAAAACTTCAATAAAGTTGACATAGCTCAACCTATAATATAAAAAATAATTATTGTATCTAAACGAATACTAATTCATTATTAAATAATGAATGAATCAGTATTTCAATTGAATTCGTTATTTTAATAGCTAACCAACATTTTAGTAGTACGTTGAGAAATAATTGAAAGAATATTTTAAACCAGGTAATAAAACAGCTAATACAATGCAAGTTCGGTGAATAAATTCAGAGTAAATAATGAGAAAGAATAGACTTTTATAACTATTTTACTATAGAGATGAAAAATATTATTAAAAAAAAATTACAACAGATACACTCAGTTCACTATTAACACAAAAGGAGATACATAAATAAAACCTCATGATTTTTCCACATTTAGTTTGGTATTGTGTTAACATTGCTTTGAATTATTAAGCATTAGATCAAGATAATAAAATCACTAATGTATCAATCGAAATATTAAGAACTGTACGAGAGTATTTTTCCTTGCTTATTACTTATTCCGTATTATTAGTGTAATTAGAAGAAAATATTAATAAAAAATAAAGCAATGAGAATATAATGAAAGAAGATTCATTACCTGCGGGAATAACAATTCTTAAAGAGGAAGACATCCATGTGTTTCAAACGTAATCCAGATCACATATCACAACACTCACTCGCCACACTGACTAACACACTTGATCTTTAGCTCGAGTATATCTCACATCCGCCGATCGGACGGGTTCTCGGTAAGCTGCGACGTACCCCTGGAGCAGAGCTAGATCCGGACCGTAGTGCGTACTCCTCCCGTGTCCCGGCAGACTGCTTGCCCTGACTGCGGCGCTACCAGAGCGGCCATATTACCCCGACCGCAGGTGACACAGATCTAAATTTGTGAATGGAGTTGGTAAGGACATGCCGCTGATAAGATTATCTCTTATCAGCAGCGGCTGATTACCAACATCCGCATATGCTGCCTTTTAAAGGCGTGTTACCAAACCAGCGTTTGGCATCTGTAGAAATAATGGAAACACCATCACCAGTTGGCATACAAGCATTCCTCATTACTTACAAAAATGGCATTATTATTATTAACAAAAAAAAAAAGTCATGGTTCTGATTTTGTAATGAAAATGCTGAATTGTAATGATGGAGCTTCTTGATATCGACATGAAATCGCCTACAAACAACAAATACTTTGATAAAGAAAGTCTAAGAAAGCATAACCTTTGTAACATAATTTGTAAAATCGCAATATTGTTGATCAAAATCGAAATGGAAAATTGTTTGTAGTTTGATTAAAAGGATTAAGACATGCGCACTTTTATTTTTATTTTATTTTATTTTTTCACCTTCCATGCCACGAGGGCTATACGGGTGTATGCAGTAGTGTAATGTTATGCATTAATGCATAATAACACAATACTGACATAATATCGGTTCACAAAATTCTAAGCTGTGCACACAGCTCTTCTACTTTTCCTCATTCTTCAGCATAAGACATGCGCACTGAAAATATATATTAACATGTACGCGTGCAATTCCCAGAGCTGCACATTCTTCCTCTTCACCCACAGGTCGATGGCGTATGAACCTTCCTCCATCCTCCTAAGATATTTTATTGGTGGAGTACGGCGGTTTTTAACTTTTTGCACACATGAAAATTCTATCTCTTCTATTTTGTAATGGTGGAGAAATTGTGGTCTGTAGATCAATTAGTAGATGATTGAAATTACGAACATAAAGGATTTATTTTATTGTATGCCGACGTGTCGAACTGAATATGGAGCTTTTATCAAGGGCTGAAATTTTCAAAATGTTTGAATTTATTTTGTGATTTGTTTTAAAAAATTTTGATTTTTTTTAATTTTTGACGGAACCTTCAAGCAGCTTGTCATATTTTTTTTTAATATCTGTAAACTAAATTATACAGCTATGGAAATATTCGGATTGGTCTTTTTAAGATTAATCTAATTGTCCATTGTTCATAAAAAAAAATCTTAATTGGGCCAGTTTCTGTATTATTTTTTTTTTTTATTGTAAATAGAGTGTGAGTGTGCTTTCTCTGAACACTATTATAAATGTCCTTGATGTGACAGAATGTAATATTTCTAAATAAACAAATATAAAAAATCAAAATTGGGCCAGTTTCAACATACAGGTTTTACTTAGCGTTTTCTTCTTAGATGTGAGAAAAGAGTGTGAGAAGACAGGCGGTACAGATTTAATATGCAAATATTACGAAAAAAATAAACCATTGCGTAATAATTACAAAGATTTTTTTCATTTTAAAAAATCAATTTTTTTTTTTTTTTTTTTTATTGATACATTCCTCATCTACCCGAGCGGGTCATTAGATGGAATTAAATTAGGTGGACAAATTTTATGTATTTTATGAATTCAAATACTTTTTGTATCTTCTGCTCGTCATCAAGTGCGTCAGACATGTTGGAAGGTATATTATGTTTTGTTCTGGTGTTTTGATTAGTCATAAAAAAATAGTGATAAAATGACTGAACCGAGATCTTTTATAGTGAATCTCACGACCTTCCTTCCCCCGTCCTACTGACTCAGAGCTTAAAATTTTATTAGTGAGGCATAGAGTAATAAAAACGATGCGGTGAGCCATCCTGATGGAATCCCTAAAGAGCGGTTCGGCCATCATCACCTGGCAAAGATACATCGATGGCGTAATTCTCATTTAAACACTGATATAAAATTGATTCTCAATTAAATGCTAAATCACTTAGAAGTTGACAGCGAAATTCAGAGTTTAAGATGAAAGTAGAAACAAGGCTATGCTCCACTAGGACACAAGATCTAGGAGAGACAGATGGTCTCAATATATCAAAGAAAGACACAACAAAAAATAAAACAATTAACGCTGCCATGAATCAAGCAGAAGCTCCATCAAGCTGTCGGGATCCTCCTACTTTGCAAATACCCTCCGATAAAAATAGGAAGAGAGACGACACGTTTTCGCAAGGATAGAACGGCCCCTGCCCTTGCGACTGACTTGGTCATATTCCAAGTGAATTTCCTTACATCCTGCATCCTTAATTAGCATTGCTTTCCGACGTGAGGCCGCAAATCCAAGGATCCACCTGAGAGGAGGTCCTTGTATTTATACATTTCTAAATCCGTAGTGGCTATTATGAGTACGCTCTTGGCAGGGGATCGCTCATGCTGATTAATGTTCGAGAGTGAATTAGTATGATCATTACTAATTTAGAAAAAAAAATAAGTAATATGAAGTACATGAACCATCACGATAATTAACTTCTAAAATTATTATTACAGTACTAAAGATTTTTCTCTTAATTAAATTTACAAATACAATTAGGAATTATTAGATATTACAAAAAATGTCAATATTAACTTGTTTATTGGAAAATATTACAATCTGTCTCAGAGGACATTTATAATAGTGTTCAGAGATCCCATTCACACTCTATGTACAATAAATAAAAAAAAAAAATATCCAGAAAAATAATATTATATACAATAAATAAGAATAAAGTAACCTAAATATAAATGAATAAAAAAGAACATATATATATACACTTACGAAAAAAAAAAATCTACTTTGCAATTGTAAAATTGCGTTCTTTGATATGCATAGATCAATGAATAATTACATATTCGTATTGAAATGCATCCGTTTGTTCTGAAGTCTTCTACCATATTAAACAATATATATATATATATACATTTTTCTCATCTTTACATCTTCCCACAGCTTAAACTAAAACCTTTGAACATTCCGTTATTGCTCGCTCTACTGCCTTCTGGGTATTCTCTAGCTTTTAATATCCACTACGTTCCTTCCCTTTCTTCATTCAAATACATCCTTTTGCATTATCTTCTTAAATTACAAAAATATGTTTTTCAATCTCGAAATCTTAATTTAAGAATAAAATGTTGATTTGAAGTGGATAATAAATAATATTGAAATTTATTTTTGTGTGTGCGTGTTATTGTACTCTTTCTTTATTCTTTTGACGTTATTTGTTAATTTTTTTTTCAAGACAATTTTTTGTACTTTCAAGATTTTTTTTGCGAATATTTTTTTACTGGAGGGAATACATATACTGTTTAAATTGTATTAATGATTTTTTTTTTTTGTTTTATGTATTTATTTATAGAAAAAGTTTTATTTTATTAAATTGTACATACACTTTTGTTCTTGTTATTGTTTATATTGAATATTTTTAAACATCTTAATACATTTAGCATTTTAGAGAGATAAAGAGAGAGAAGAGGGAATGGAAAACAAATATAATAAAAAAATAAAGTGCTTGAAAAAAGGAAACAAAACAATATATATACATACATATATATATATATATATCCTAAGATATGGACCACTATTCATTAAACCACACAAAGTTTTGCCTAATATAAGCCGTCATCGAGTGCATTATAATTATTGAAGAGCCATTCTGCTTCTTTCATCCTTTTAATATTGATTAAATAAATATATATAGTCGATGACGATAATACCAACAATTAAAAAATACTTATTTAGTAATAGAATTTTTAGTCATACGTAAATTATTTATCTCAACAAATTTAAATGCTGGTTCAATAAGTGTTTATTTTTATCATACATGATACATAACAATATTTTTGAAATTATGAAACTAATTTGTGACTATGACCTTTTGTTGAACCTTTCGAACTTTTCAATATTTTCAATCGATTCCTTCTTGAGAAATATTTCATTCTGTCACATCTAAGGTCACTAGTACTAATGAAAAAGTAGTTCATTCACACTCTAGGTACAATAAATAAAAAACAAATTAATAATAATAATATATTTCTATATTAAAAACTGCAGACAAATTACGATCGGCTTCAGACAGATACAATTAAATACAGATGAATTCTACAGAAAACTGATACTAAGAGCAGTTTACAGTTTACAAGACTAAAGGAGCCAAACATTTCTCGTCTGAGGCTAGTGACGTCTGATGAATGTTTCACTCATTTGTTAACCAACGTTGGACGTAAATACGGCATTACTATTGCGCAGGATGAGATTTGTAATTCGATGTAAAAATTCGGTAAGCATAACATTAAAATTATCCAAATTAATCAAGTATTTATTTATTGTACATAGAGAGTAAATGAAATCTCTGAACACTATTATAACAGTACTTTGAGATATATTGCAATATTTCTCAATTAGAAAAAATATATATATTTAAAAAAAAAAGGTCGGAATACAGAAAAACATTTTAAATGTTCAGCTTCATGTACATGGTGTCTTATTATAAATTTTATGAGGAATAATTTATCAGGAATTTTAATACATTACATAATATTCTGTTACACCTAATTTCTCATGGCAGAATAGTAAAAAAAAAATGATTTACGGATGGCATATTTAATTTCGCTTGAAATAGGCGGATTACTTAAAACATTTGATAATCTTTCAATGTTTAATCAATAGGTTATAATATGTAATTAAGTAATACAACTATCAACTGTGTATATATATATATATATATATATATATATATATTCATCAGAGTGAAAAAGAAATCTATAGAGTTCCTAGAGCACAACACATAGTTAGTTATATCCTCAATGTAGGAATTTACAACCCACTTGATCCTTGAACTTACGTCATGGATGATAGTAAAACCTACATATTATGTTCAGAAATATTCGAAGTGATAATCGGTTTTAAAACACCAAAATTTAATAGCAGAAAGCATGACAGAAAGCATCGCCTTTTTGGGCTAAGCGAACAATTGACTACAAATCCGAAAAACTACAATAAGCAGTTTGGATTGATTGGGTTTACTCTACATTGGATTAGAAAAACAACGAGCTACAACAAGCGACAAATGGCGATATATAGCTACAATGAATTATGGCTTTTTTTTTTCAACACCACAGTGCCACAATGATGGATATTGAGGAATTGATAATTTTTTTTTCTGTCAGTGACAAGATTTTCTCATGAATGGGTGGTCCTATTTAGTTTCATCTTATTTATTTGATTAGGTTTCGGTAGCGCCTGTGTACCAAAATGGACAACCTGTGCGCAAAAATTAAAAAAGGTATTTTTTATTGACTTTATAGGCAAAACAGCTAAAACGATTTTGATGTAATTTGCGTACAGTTTTCTCCTCAAAGACTTTTTTATTCTTATTTGTGTAACGCATCCCGAGGAAAAGCAGGAAAAGAAAACATAATGAAAAGAAACTGTATTACTCTAAAATTATATATTTTATAGCATATTATATCTATAATAATTTGAAATTAGATTCTATCAAGAATAAAAAAATCATTGAAATCTAACCATTATTATCAAATGTAGGGCATGCTATAGTGCGTATTAATGTTTTTAAAAGTGTATTTTAAACAAATTTAAAAGTTTCAATTTTTAATATATTTTTTTTACTACTAATGTGCAGGGGTGCCCATCCCCCCAAGGTCGATGGCGCATGAACCTCTCCCAGTTCTAAGATATTTTATTGCTCTCCCCTTCTTAAAAACAATGCTAGAAAAAGAATAATTTAATAAATAATAGATCATATACGATTACATTTGCTGTGGTCTGTTCCATATTTTCACCTTGTCCACAGGTTTGAAACTTTTCATTCCAAAAAATTTGCTCTCCTCGAAAATTCAAAGCACCATCAAAATGTGCCTCCCCCCCCAAAAAAAAAATTTGAAGGTGCAACTTGCGCGACTTGTGTTACAACACAGTTTCCTACTGCAATTAGTATTAACTAGTATCCATGTTTTTAAAAGTACCTAGTGCAAGTTTGTAAAGAAACAAGCTGACTTGTTTTAATTCTTCAAGTAAATGCAACACTCTTTCGAAATATTTAAGATACTTATTTGAAATATAATTAGCAAATTGCTAACAAAGCTTAAAATGTTTATAAATAGGTTCGTGCAACTCTGCGAGAACTGTTAGGAAGTAACATGTCTGATTTTTTAACAGATTTAAGATATCGAATATATAATATTATATTTACGATACTCATTTGAAATATAATTAGCAAATTGCTTACAAAGCCTAAATTTCAAACGGTTTCTATGTGCCTACAATCGGGAGCGAAGTCGTGTTAATGGACACGTAACATATTTATTTTAGTAGTCATATTATGAAAACAAATGTTTATAAATAAGCTCGTGCAACTCTGTAAGAACTGTTAGGAAGAAACATGTCTGATTTTTTAACAGATTTAAGATACTGCATAGTGCGCTAACCACATACCTACTTGTAAGAATAGGCTGAGGAGGAAAAAAAAGGAAAAAGATACCGCATAATAAAGAGAGTGATTTTTTTTTTTTTTTTTTTGCGTAATGTTCTGATAATATTTCTGAAACAAGCTCACCAAATGATTTTTTTTTTTAGTGTTAATAATCATACTTCATAAAAAAATAATAATAATAATGAAAACCTATTCCCTCCATGAGATATATAACATACGCCCTCATAAAATAAAATAAAAACTTTTTTAAACTGCATTATTAGGACTAAGACAGAGGCAAGCAATCACAATACGTTAAAGGGAGGAGGTGCCAGAAAAAAGGCCTATCTGGTTGTCGAGATAAAAAGATAAAATAAAAACGTTGTTCGCAGCGGTTCCTCATATCCATCCGGGATCATATCATTATGAAAAACTTATTCATCGAGTTCTTTTTTGGTCTGCCCGAGGTCGCCGGCGCCTACCTAAGCTGCATTTCTTCGTTCTCCAGCCAGCAGAAAAATTATATTACAACATATTCGGGGTTTACGAATCAGTATCAACGTATCGTAAATAATAGTATAGTAAATAATAATAAGTGAACAATTCTCGTCAGAAATCATTTTAATAGATTTTTTTTAATGTAGGCCTTCATTGTTATTATCAAGACTTATGTTAGAAAGGAGTACAAATCTAGAATTATGAGAGTAATGTGGCAAAACTAGTATCTTACTTTAATGATATATATCGTATCGATATTTTTCAATTACATCGAAATAATAATCCGAAACATCGAAAAATAAAATCGATGCTTCGATATTTTTAATCTTTGAAAATAGTAAGAATGAAAATATTGAAATTTATATATTAAACAGATTAACGTCTCAAAATTGTAATAGTAATAATAAAACAATATATTTCTAAAAGGATCAATTTATTAGAATTAATCAATAAATAAACCAATTATTATTTCTAGAAACTAGAAATTTTGAGCAATAAATATTAAAAAATCAATTAAGTAGCTCGGAAATAAAAAAATAAATAAAAATTTATTTCAATTACTAAAAAAATGTATGAAAATAATAAAATTTATTATTAATATGAATTCGTAATAAGAACAAGATAAATATTAATTAAATTTCAGAAGATAAAAAATGAAGAATATCGAAATTAAATTAATGTCTGAAATTAATAAATATAATTTTAATTTTAATTACAAAAAATGTTACATAATTCTAGAAATTAATAGAAAATTTAATATTCAACATAACATAAAATATGATATCAACCAAAATATGTCACTAAATGATTTAGCAAATGATGTGACCATACTTGTAGACATTTTTAATTATAATTTTTTTTTTTAATTAAAAAACAATATTTTAGTCAAATTTTAATTTCGATACATCGACATAAGCATTGGAGCAATATAGTTAGAGTATTATATTAGAAAATCACACTGTACGAAGGTATAGTTACCCGGAAGGTTCGATGCCGATACGCATCGATACACCAATATGCCGCACGCATACCACTCTGCACAGTTCAAGTAAATCTTTATTATGGATTCTTTGGCTATGAAGCAAACCATTCTAGATACTTTACCGGATCAGAACTTTTGGAAGATTTCTAATTTTATAGTATAAACGTACTTCTTTTTATAAGCTATTGCCTGGTTCTAGTTTCAGTAATGGTAGGTTTACAGTTGGGAAACATATTAGAGCCGAAAAGGAATGACGCTGACCCTACGTCACTTGAGTTGTTCTAGATCATTAGGGCCTTGTGCCAATGGTCCTCTTTCTGAAAACGATCCATTGCCAGGTTCAAAGAATTCTTCCCAAGTCGATTCACAAAACATAATTAGTAATCATGATTCTTCTTTTTCTTTCTTAATAACTTGGTTATTTATTTTTTTAAATTTAAATCGCTATTCTCTATGAATTGATTTCTAGGACAAAAATTAACAAAACACGCAAATATAAAAATATTTCTTATAGTTAATGTTTATCTACTTTATTTTACATATCTTTTTTATTAAAAACTTAAATACCATGCTACAAATTCAAAATTCATCGGACAATTTTCGATGCTTCGTTCCATGTGACTAAAAAAACTTTTAAACCATGGCTTTGATATCCCATGTGTCCTAGACTTTATCCAAACTTTTGTTTTCTAAATTTCATCAGAACCTTATATATCATCTAAATCCTCTTGCACAATCCCTATCTAGCCCAGTCCATCCCTACAATCCACCCTGAAGGTTGAAGCGGCAGTGGCATAGACACCTTTAGAAGATAAGCATGTATTGAACTTTGGGCAATGGCCAGATACTGTACATAAGCCATGTACGTCAGTGGCTATAACGCCGCTAATCATATTCCACTGGTCCTTAAAACCAATGATGCGATAGAGAGCAAGGCGTTGGGATCATCTCAAGTCCTGCTTTTCCCTTCACATTAGGGAGGAAAGAGTATAGCCCTGTCAAATTAAACATGTTACCTTGCAAAAGGTCGAGTAATTCAGATTTGTTTTTTATATTGTTAGATATGCAGCGAATATAAAAATTCAAATTTCCGACCTTCAATGCCTTGTGGGCTCGCTGCAGTGTTCCAAAAACCATTGAAATTTCTTACTTTTTTATGGATTACGCTAATTATCTTCTTTTTAGAGCAAAATAGATAAAAATGGTTACATCCAATCTTAAACAGCTTAAAACTATCTAACATTTTTTTCTAAACACAACAGGCGAACTATCGAGTTCTCAAAATTTATCCATTTCGATTTGTTCACAATAGTGCATTCAATTTTGAACGGAAGAAATCTGTAACTCTATTTTTAACCCCGTTCAAAGAATTTTGAGGATAATTAGCCATTGACTGGAACGGTAGGCGGTAGTCGGTAAATGTTTTGAAAAGGATGTGCCAGACTCCCCTACCGTGTACCTCCCCCCACATCCCAATAAATTGAATATAGTTGCGTTTCTTGTAACTATTTATTTAAAAAAAAAAAGCAATGATTCCACACAAAAAAGTGGCCGCACTGTCCCAAAATGGTGTTCAAACATATCAGATTGACATCTTTGACTTTGAGTTAGTTTTTAAGTCACTGAGATTCAGAATTTGGCTTAACTTCGCCATAATTGGCCCTTTATTAAAGCTGGATAGTTAGAGAATAATAAAACATGAAAACATATTTTTAAAAAGTTAGCTTTGGTAATAAAAAAACACCAGTAACTGCAACTTGTTCAAGTCGTTTGAATTAATGTAGATAATCTTGCGTCTTTTGTAAATAAACTGCCAACAAGAACGAAAAATGCTTCGAAATAAAACACCTGTAGAAAACTTTTTTATTTTTTAAAAACTGATCACTTTTTTAAATATTTGAAGCAGTTACTTAGGAAATTCACTTAATCGACGAAAAGTGGCACTGGCATTGGCGTTTAGAGTCCTCTGTCACTTCATTAAGTACCCATAAATGGTACAGATATAGTACTATAATGATTGTATTAATATTTGATTGTATTGACGAACAAATATTAATACAATAATTTGATTGACAATTTTGTTTTTTAAACATTACCCATTTCGAAAGATCGATAGTCCGCTTTCTGTTGGGTTTAGAAAAAAAAATGTTATGTTCAAAGAAGGTAGATAATTAAGCTCTTGAAGATTTCATATAGCCATTTGTTATCTATGTCGCTTTAAAAAGGAGATATTTAGCGTAAACAAAAGTTCGAAATTTCAATTTTTTTTAAGCACTGCAGAGAACTCACAAGGGTGGAAACTTGGATTTTTTATATTTACAGTAAACCTAAAAATATAAAAAATAAATTTGAATTGCCTGACGTTTTGCAAGCTAGACCCCTTTTCGGTGCTGATTTGACAGTTTATTATATATCTAATCTAGAGGAAAATTACAAGCCATTCATAGATATCCACGATCATCATCACGACTTTGTTGAAGGGTTTCAGGAAGACTTATTAGACATATAATAAGCCAAATTGAAGTGGTAAGCAATTGAAACTGCTGAGAACACGCTAATATAACGAACAAGAAATTGATGATAAAATTAAATGGAAAAACCAGATTTAAGTTTCATTGTAAAGAGAGTAATGAATGGACAGCTATGACTAACGGAACAGCCACTCAAGACGAGTCCGCTCTTAAGGAATAGACTCCAACCCAGTCCTTCCTTTTCTGGAATTCCTCTCATCACTCTCCTCTCCTGTCTTCTTGAGAAGAGGAGGTCCCTAAAGAGTACAATGGACTGCATCATATACGGTTATGCCACCGAAGAAAACCATACGGGGCACTTATACAATTACGACTAACCCTTATCGAACCAGGAAAACCACGCATAATTGACAACTATGCAATATATATGCACAGCTTATCCGCGAGAGATAAAAGTAAATAAATTACTTTTTCTGAAAGGAACTAGAATCTTGGTGTTACTTAATGTAAAGTATCCGATTCGTTCTAATTTCTACAAATATCTATTCAAAAAATTAATAATCTAGGTAGGGATAAAATTATGACCGACTCTTACACCAATACCAGTGGTCATAGTTTATTTTGGCTATAAATATTCCAAAGAAGGACCTCATATATGAAAAGAAAAAAAAGTATGACTTCTTTTAACTAAATTCAGAATAGCTTAGAATTTTTAAAAAAACCGTTTGTACACCATAGGACCAGATAAGACAGAAAAAACTAACAAAATACTTATCTATTTGATTTAAATAAATAAAATAAACCCTCAAAAACAGGAAAATCGCTGACTCATTATCGAACATGAAGTAAGAGTAGCAACAGGTAGCTCCTCAAACATTATATTACTGAATTAGGAACATCTTCATTCATAAATCAATTTTACTAGTTCAACTGTAAATGGGGCAATTAATAAATAAAAATATAGGCCTTATATAAAAAAAATAATTGTTAACCTTATACGATTTAAAATTTCGTTCTAATTTTCCTTATGTCTGTACATTATTCCATCTATAGTTCTAAACATTATTTTAGCGCTATTGGTTATGTTATACATTTTCTTTTAAATTTTATTACTTAATTGATATCAATCTGTTGAGACCAAGTATAAAAAACAAAAAGAAATAGATTAATATTACGTCATGTAAGCGATAAATGTAAAATATAAACAGAAAAATGAATATTTTTGTGATTAACAATATAAAATAATACGGATATCGATAAAACAATTATTATTTTTCCAAAAGAATTTTAATAAAAAATATTTTATTAATTTATATATATCGTCTTCCTTTTATGATTATTAATATTTTCTGATATTCTATTTTTAAATAGATACTCCTTTATCTCTATAATAAATATATTTAAAAGGTTAAGTAGCAACAAATACTTATAAATCCATTCCATTGAAAAACTGTAATAATAATCATTTATTAATAATTAATAAATTACCTGAAGGCCTGATGGGAGACCATGAAACAGGTGGGGGCCTAGAGCGGCCCCGTCGAGACGCCACCTTGCAGACCTCCCTCAAACCTGGAAATTCATTATATAAATTAAGTAATATAATTACAATAAAAAAGTACAATAGAAATATCAAATTATAATAAAGCTCAAAACATGAGTTATCTCTTACAATAATTGATCTAAAACCATCCTATCCTGGAAGCGTATTATATTTTTAATTATTTTTAAAAAATAATGATAATCATAAAGTATATGAATGACTTATATAATAGACTGATCTGTTATGAGAAAAAATTGTTGTAACATTAAACCAATTCTAAAGATTATTTTTCTTGATTCTGTTTGAACATTATTAAATAAAATCAACAGAAACAGCTTGAGTTAAACCTATGAAAAAAAAAAATTGACTTTTCCCCCACTTTATGAAAACTACATATATAATATCCCTTTGATATAAGGACACTCGCATTACAAAAAAAAAATTATATATATATATATATATATATATATATATATATAGACTAAGTTCCACTTTTAAAAAAGCATTGTAATGACGAAAAAAAGAAGTAATTGCTTGTTGTTTGTATCCATTTTTTTTTTCTATATACAAGATTTTATATATTTGAGAGGTATTTCATTTTTTTACATTCTTCAATATGTATGTATGTATATCTTTTCCCCTCTTAATCTACGTTTTGTATATAGTTTACAATATCATTGCGAGTACTCATTTTAAGTTCTTAAGTAAGATATATAAATTTTTTTTTTCCTTTTTGCCGCTAAAATGGTTTTCTCATAAAATTAATTTATTGCCCCATTCAAATTGTATTTATCTATTTATTTCTCTTATGATAATGCAATATTGTGATCAAATTGCTCACCTGATGTCGTTAATATATCTTTAAGATATTTATATATTTTGTATGTTTTAATATAAAAAGTCAATACTTTTTCTTTACTTACTTTTGACATTTTTTATTTTCCGAAGGTTTTGCATTTTTTTTTTCTATATATGCATTTTTTTTCTAATACAACTATTAAGGTATTCTTGAGATTTTATTTAATTATTATTTATTTATTTAAATTATTGAATATATTGTTAGAATCTTTAATAAATTAGTTTTTGGCCAGATATGTATTTTTTCTTTTGTAATTAGTCATTATTGTTAATCGTACTTCGTCCCAAAATATAGTTCATTTTCTATTTTATGCTATATATATAAGAACAAGAATTAAATTTGTATTCATAATTTTATTACTTGAAACTAAAAATAATTATAATATATAAAAGTTGTGTATATCTTTTTAATGTTAGTACCACATACAAAGGATACAAGAAATAAATAGTGTAATGAAAGCTGGCTTCAACATGTAAAAGTATGCATCAGTGTTTACCAATTTCAAAATTTAAACAAATTCTTTGAAATGCTAAACCCCATTTTCATCACGCCGTCTGTCAAAATAGGAAGCATGAGTCAGTCCAGTCTAACGAGGACGTCATAGCATGGCACGCATTCCTCAGCCAATACTCAGATCATAACAATTCTTACATCGATGGTGTAATAAGGAATTTATTTAAATATTACTTAATAGATTTGAATAATGGTTAGATTATTATAAAATAAAGGAAAAACAGGCAGATGAAGCTTTTTTAAGAAAGAAACAATTTTTACCTCAAGACTTAAACAAATTAATAACAGGATAAATCAATAGTAAGTTGGCAGAACGACATTTTTATTTTTATTCTTAATTCTTTAAATTCTAATTGATTATCGATATCTAGTAATTATCACTAGGCACTTGTTTTTAGTTTTTGTGTGTGTCTATGTATGTGTATATATATATATATATATATATATATATATATATATATATATATATATATATATATATATATATATATACACTTGTTTTTAGTTTTTGTGTGTGTATATATATGTGTGTGTATATATATATGTGTGTATATATATATATATGTCTATGTATGTGTATATATATATATGTGTGTATATATATATATGTCTATGTATGTGTATATATATATATATATATATATATATATATATATATATATATATATATATATATATATATACACATACATAGACACACACAAAAACTAAAAACAAGTGCCTAGTGATAATTACTATTTATTTATTTAAAGTATAAATTAAAGAAATATTTATTTTTTTTTTTTTTTTTGGTTGTGGAAGTAACTATTTCCTTTTTTTTCCGGATAAATAATATCGTGAAGAATTACGACTTCAAAAGCCTGGAAAAATTCCCAGAGAAGTGCAAGGAGAAGATTATTTAAGATAAAACTCTCGTACCGAAAACACCGTACCTATATGAATCATTATTTTAATTTTTTCTATCATTTTCAGACATATTCTGGATTTGTTCTTAGATTTTCGGATTCTTAGATTTTTAATTCTACTCCTATTCTTATATTTTTTAGTTATAGGAGTAGACGGACAGACGTACAATGTAAATGTGAAAATATTATAACCGAAATATAATTGCTGGTTATATCTGCTGATAAATTAAATTAGTGAAAATTTAAGGTCTTATAAATTATTTTGATTGTTTTATTATTCCTGTTCATTTCATATGTATATTTTCATACACAAAAATCAAAAGACTACATCATCTTTCAATATTTGTATTTATATGTAAATATTTTGTAAGAAATATCGGAGTTAGAGAAAAGTTCGCCTTCGGGTATGTAATCGCCGTAAAACTACAGTGTAATATATGTTTATAAGTATTAAAGTCTCCCTTTATTGTATACTTATAATTTATAATTTAATTTATAGCCATTTTTAAACTTTAAAAAGAAAACTAGATTTTCTAAAAGGATTTCGGTATTTCATTTATTTATTTTATAATTAAACTAAGTTGTTTTTTTCCATTAATAAACGATAAGTCACTTATATGTTAAATAATTCAATCAATCGACAATTAGAACGTAATTATTGTAATTGAAATCTAAATGAATTGTAAATTAATATAGTAATGTAAACAATTAATCAATATATTGCACAAACCTCCTTCGTAATTTCCTAAGAAATCAAAACAGCAAAAAAATAAAAATGATAACGTTTGCAGACATAAAAAATTACGAGAACACTTGAGATTTTTTTTTTCGAAACGTTCAAAGAGATCATATTTCCTGTTGCTTTAAAGCATTGTCTTCCTGTTTGATATCCAAAATTTACTATTCCCAAAAAAGTTATCATAAATGAATATCATAAAAAGTTTAATTTGGGTGGGTTTTGGCCTAAAGTAAGTTTCGTAATAATGAGGAAATTACGATGTGAAGGTTACTATAAGTTGAATATCAACCGCATAAGTCAAAATGGTTATTTAATGAATTAGCATTCACTATTAGTTAAAAAAATAAATAAATATTTATTTTATAAGGGCCATAAGAGTTAAATATATATATATATATATATATATATATATATATATATATATATATATATATAAAGGAAATAATAAATTTTAATGAATCAGACTAACTTAAGACATAATTTTTGGCACCGCCATTCACAAAATGTCGGTATCTCTTTATCTCTGTTTGATAAAAATAAGAATTTAATTTATTTAGAATTAAAAGAACGAGAATCAATTATTTGATGTTATATACAAAGGACGGTCTTTTGTCTTTTCCTATAGGTGATGGTTTACGAAATGTCGAATTTCCGTAATATGGACGAATATGTGTTAATAATTTTGTATTTATTAATAAGTTCAAAATGTTTATAAATAAATAAAGAACCACAGTTCCACTAATTAATGTTAATTCGGTCA